AGCTAGCTAATTAAGGAAAGTTGTCTAAAAAGTAGAATTCGAACGATGAGTTTAGAAATTCACCATAAATTATACAGAATTAATTAAAGGGTGATCTCTATACCGTTAGATTTGTATATCATTCTAACTTTGTTTAAAATAGACAGTGACCAATTTCGAGGTGTACACAAAAATATATGAATTTTTAATTGGTGATAGGTCAGAAAACAGGGTAGCAGATTCTGTCGAAACAAGTTCTATCAATCAAGTTTGAAAATTCACTATAAATTGTACAAGTGGAACTAGATGGATTACCTTATATGGTTAGAATCTTATTTGATTCTATTTTTCATTAGTGCAAACAAAATAGTTTTTTAATATATAAATTAATACAAAATAATATTTGTTTGAAGGTAGTGCAAACTGCCAAAATATGGAATTTTGATAAATTGTATATTGAAAGTAGTGGAAGGCAAAGGATCTAAATATAAAGCTTGGTGAGGCATATATTTTTATCTAAAATAATAGTAATAAAGTGTTAAAGTGAATCCAGTTTGTTTATTTGATTATTATTATAGTTGAGGACAACTTGCGATAAGTAAACCTCATTTTATTTTTCAGTATGATTTATAAATTTTCAGTACGGAATATTTCTATAATATTTTGTTTTATCAAGTTTTATGAATGATTTTGGGTATGAACTGCCCAAGTATAATATTTAAGATGATGAATTCTAAATGTTTTCAGTTATCATATGATTTTCAGTGATCATATGATTTTCAGTTATCAGATAATTATAAGATCAAATATTTCACAATTATTAGATACAAAATAATAAATGATTCTATGATGATAAGTATAAGCTCATTGTATGTTACATTGAGAGTCGTAGGTACATTTGGCATGCCATTAAGTGAGTGTTTATCAGTTCAACTTTGGTATATTTGTGTGTCAATGTTCAATTATTAGTACAGCTTTGGTACATTTGTGTATCAATGTTCAGCACCGTTGTGCTCATTCAGGTTATGATTACACTGAAGTGCATGATATCTCAGTTTCAGTTATGATTCGGCACCGTATTGTGCCTAATACGCACCTTAAACTCACGTACCTTATATTCTCTTACATATACATTGGGTTATAATAGTAAATGAGAAAGTTATGACAACATGTGAAAGAAAGGAACATAGACTTGAAAAGAAAGTTTTGAAATATGTTCGAATGAACAGAACAAAAGTTATTTGTGATACTCGATGTTGACTTACATGTTTTTTATAAAATCATGAGATGATGATTTTTCATATTTTTAGAAGGAAAAAGGACTTGACCAACCAGTTTGAAGTTTAATATTTTTATTTAAATTACAATTTGTTTCTTATATTTTATTAAATTTATGGTTTTATATCACTTTAATTATATTTTTGCCTCACTAAGTTTTACTTAGCGCGTGATGATTTTCATGCGTAGGTTCGAATAAAGTATAGGTCGTAAAGTAGGGAGCTTGCCAACATCTTATGCAAATTCAAACCTACCGACAGTATCAGTAAGACATCCTAACTTTGACTTATTAGTGGTATGTACATTATATTTGTTGGGTTGCCTTAATAAATTTATTTTAAAAGGGTTTTTAATAGTAATTAGGGTTATTTTCTTTAGTTTTGTCTAATTTTAGTATTAATCGTGTTTATGAGTAAATATTATAAATGTTATATTTTAAATGGTTTAAAATGCAGCAGAATTAGGCAGTTGTATTTGGATATCAAACAACACTAAACTGCCTAATTACTGGCTGAAATCAAATTAGTTTCCAATGATCAAACATTTATAATGAAAAAGTTTTTTAAAGTTAAAAAGGAAATTATTAAATGAAACAAAATTTTTAAGCATTTAAGTTTCAGAAAATATAAGTTGAGTTGATGTGACATTTGTAGCTCGTATTACTAGATATATATGGGCTATAGGTGTTATATTTATTGGTATCAGAGCAACAGGTTTAGCCGATTATCGGCCTAAATCAAGCCTATGTTATGTCAGAAATAGGTACATGCCACTAGGATGTTAACATTTATGATCTGGTATGGTTTTATGAATGATGCTACTCCTTACTAATGATATAGAAATGTATGTGTTAGATATTGAAAAGTTAAGAATTAGAGTAAAAACATAGATAATACTAGAAATAAAATCGAGATTAAAACCAATTCAATTGGATTCAAGGAGATTTTAGTATCTTGCCTTAGTAAGGTTAGGGTTGTTAAGGATTTTCCTTTATTTTATGGAAGATATACCCCAATGTTTAATTAGGTAGTTGGATTAGAGGAAACTATCAGAATGTTTGGAAATTTTATAAGAGAGATTGAGAATTAAACAGATGTCAGGATTATTGAAATTACTGGAATGCCTATATGTAAATAAATTGTATGTTGAAGTTTAAAGAAAGTTAAGTTTTTAGTGTAGTAAAAGATTAATTATGTTATTCTTTGAAATGATTTAAAATGATATTGAAAAAGAGTAGTTGTTAATTTGAATGACTTGAAGGATTTCACTATTATGGAAATTGGAGTAAGATTATAGAAATGAGAAAGTATATGAAGAATGACTTTAAGTGGTAGAATAAAATTTATGAATAAGTTGTGTTAATAAAAGAAATTGCCTTAAATATGCATTCTCTTAGAATTTATTTATAGTAACGAAATCGATGGGTTTTAGCTTTAGAATAAAACATATAAGTAGGAATTTCCTGATAAAATTCAAGGAATGATATTTCATGCAAATCCAATGAAATTTCCAATTGATGAATTTGAGATCATCAAGATAAGTGCAATTGACAGTTGAATAGTTGAAGTTAGATTAGAGAATATTTTGATAGTTTGGGAAATTCTAGATGTAACCCTAATAAATTATATATATTACCTTCTGATCAAGAAGTGGAGTTTAAACTTTATATTTTCTGGGAACAGTGCCAATTTTAATGGTCCCATATCGGATAGATCTGATAAAATTCAAAGAGTTAAAGGTATAAGTAAATGAGTTATTCGGCCGCAATTTTATCAGACCGAAAGTATCTCCATATGGTATATTGGTACCTTTAGTAAAAGAAAAAAAAATGAATAGATGTAGTTATATATAGATGATCGTCAACTAAATAAAGTGACAGTAAACAATAAGTGTCCCTTTCCAAATATCGATGATCGAATTGATTATCTCAAAGGTACATCAATATTTTAAAGATTGGTCTTCAATCAAAGTATCATTAGTTAAAGATTAAAGAGTAATATATTTTGAAGATAATTTTCAGAACTCGATATGGATATTGTGAGTTCGTAGTCATGCCTTTTGGATTGGCTAATGCTCCAGCAACATTTATGGATTTGATGAATCGGGTGTTTCAATCATATTTGGATCAATTCGTAGTTGTATTCATTGATGATATTTTGGTATATTCTAAGAAGAACATGATGCACATCTTCGTACTCTATTTCAGGTGCTGCAAAATAAGAAGTTGTATGCTAAGTTGTCAAAATGTGAATTATGGCTGATAGAGGTCGCTTTACTAGATCATGTGATTTTAGCAGAAGGAATCAGAGTATATTCCAAGAAAATATAAGCTATAGTAGAGTGGAAAACTGTGAAGAATATTTCTAAAATTCAAAGGTTCTTGGGAATTACAGGTTATTATCAGAGATTCGTGAAGAATTTCTTAATGATTGCTTCTTCACTTACCAAACCACTTAGGAAATATGTACCATTTGTCTAGACTGAAAAATGCCAAGAAAGCTTTGGTACACTTAAAAAGATTCTGACAGAGGCACATGTATTAATGCAACCAAAGTTAGGCAAATATTATGTCATCTACAATGATGTATTCCATAATGGTTTGGGATGTGTTTTATCCAAGAAAGTAAAGTAGTAGCTTATGCATTAAGGCAGTTAAAGGCACGAGAATAGAAATTATCTGACATATAATTTAGAGTTGGCTATTATAGTGTTCGCTTTAAAGTTATGGCGCCATTACTTATATGGTGAGCGATGCTACATTTATATAGATCATAAGAGTTTCAAATATTTTCTCGCTCAGAAGGAATTAAATTTAAGGCAAATGAGATGGATTGAGCATCTAAAAGACTATGATGTGATTATTAACTACCATCTGGAGAAAGCTAAAGAAGTAGCTGAGGCACTTAGTTGAAAAACATTATTTGTCCTCATCACTTTAGATGTTTAGTTTAAAAAAATGATAGTATACTTGTTGTAGAATTGATGTTGAGATTGGTAATGTCAGATTTGATTGAATGTTTAGGAGATGATAAAGTATTTCTCAAAGTTTTACCTTAGGAAAGAGGTTATGTGACCTGAGCATAAAATGAAGTTAAGTCCGAGATTTATCAGTTGTATGAGACTGTAAAGAAATTTGGTTCGATCATTTACCAGTTAATATTACTTTTGGAAAGGGATCAAATGTATAATGTGTCCCATGTACTGATGATTAGAAAGTAAAGATTAGATAAATTACATGTGATTACATAGAGGAAATAAAAATTCAGCCAGATTTGTTATATTAAAATAAACCAGTAAACGTTTTAGAATATGGAATCAAAGAACTAAAAAATGAGGCGATTTTGTCTGTAAAAGTTCTTTAGTAGAATCATAAAGTTGAGGAAGAGACTTGGGAACGAGAAAAATATATGAAGAAAGAGTTTCCTCATCTGTTTTTTGCATGTATGTATATACATATGGAAAATTCGAGGAAAAATTTTCTTTTAGTGGGGAGGAATTGCAATACCCCAAATTTTGATTGGTGACTAAAATACTTTTTTTGAAAGTTTAGTGGCTAAAGTATAAATTTTGAAAAGTTATATATTTTAGATTGTAGATGAACAGTTTGGCTTAAAAAGGGATTTTTGTGGGAATTATATTTTTGGTACCGGATTTGTGTTAAAAGCTATAAAGCGATAAAATTCGGTAGTGAAATTGGATAAACAGATCGAACCAGAATTTTATGAAAATTTGAATGATGTTAGAAAAATGTTGGAAATTTTATTTTTATATTTTACATCAGAGAAATTTGGCTCAGAACAGTGGAATTTTAGTGACTAAAATGCAATATTTGAAAATTGCATTGCTAAATTAGAAAATCAAAGCCAAGTTGATTCATCTTTGACTAAGGAATATTTTATTGGAAGAAAATTCAATGGCATTTGGTAATTATCAAGGTTCATTAAGGGTATTTTTGGAATTTTTCATTAATTGAATTTTAAATTCAATTATATTAGTTTTATGCCAAGTGTAAAATTAAAATACACTAGAATAATCAAGAACATTTTACAATTTTAAGCTTTTCTCTTCCACAAGGCCGAAACCTCCATTGTTGAAGGTAAGAAAACTTTGTTTTGATTTTTAAAGCTACATGATTAGTTTTTTTGATTGAGCTATTAGATAGAGAATTAATCTACATGAAATTCTCTATCATTTGTTATAAATATTTCATAGTGAAGATGCTTAAATGTTGAGATTTAATGTTAGGGTTTATGTAGGGTGTCTGGACATTGAAGAATTGATGACAGATTTTTGTGTTTTTGATGTTGGAGATTAATTCCAAGGCATGTGTGATGATTAATTGGATATGTATATGCTTTGGCCTAATTAGGGTTTTTGGAAATGTTGGGATTATGATGTAATTTGATGTTGTTATGGTTAGAATAACATGAATTAAATCTAAGGAAGTTGAATTCATGCTTGAAATTGAATGAAAAACAAGCCTTGTGTATTTGGATAGGTTCGGCCACATGAAGAAAATTAGGGGAAAATGTAGAAATTTTTTCTTATGGTCTAGGATTGATATTAGAAGTATTCTATGTGAAATGGAGATTGATTTGGATCAATTTGGAACTTTGAAAATGAAAAGGGCTAGTTTACAAGTTTTACGGATTTTGGGACATTATTGTATAAATGTTAGATTTGGAGTATTCAATGATAATATTTAGTATTGAGATGCTGAAAAATTAAGTTGGAAAGTTAGTTGGAACCAAATTCCAAACTTGGTAAAAGTTTGGGTTGGAATTCGAAAGGTTCAAAGAAAATGGGGACTTTTTACAAGTTAGTAAATGTAGAAGTACCATTTGGGAAATTAGAATAATTATGGAAATTCTTGAAGCTTGCTGAAATTTTTGTTTAATTATTAAGTTTGAATCAAATTACAATTTAATAGAGATTGGAGGTTAAATTGACAAAGTTTAAGAAAGTTTAGGATGAATTTACAAGTTTTTGACTGTTTAAGTATTCATTTGAATATTTTATTGAGGTGCTGGAAATTTTATGTTATCAATGTGAAATAATCATAATGGTGAAGGATCATTATGAAGTTAATAGAAAAGTTAAGGTGAATTCTAGAAAGAATTCATAATTAGTGGTTTGATTGTGTAGTTGGCAAAAGTTGAAGGGTTGAAAGAGAAAATAAATATTCATAGAATCGAATAAGTATTTTGAGAAGTTTGAAAGCTACGATGGAAGTACGATTTAGTTTTATATCGATTTAAGTATTGGATTTATTTCTATCGAATTTTATATTTAAGTTTAGATTATGTTAGTTCGATGCTAACATATAGTTTGAATTTTTTATATTATTATATAATATCGTCAAATCAAGGTAAATCTAGTGATTCAAGTAGCTTGAAGGGAAGGAAAAACATTATGGGATCGAGAAGACTATGATGGAGAACGTTCGATAGCGAGGCAGATGTGATTGCATTTAATTCATGTTTGTGTTCCCGTACAAACATTAGCTTGTGATGAGCCAGTGACGGAGTTAAAATGGTACAAAATGGTACGAAGTGACTCCTAATGTTATAAGAATTTTGAGTCTAGCTTAAACGTTCATTTATTAAGCTTACAAAATTATGAAATTAAGATAAGGAAGCTAATTAAGGAAAGTTGTTTAGAAACTACAATTCAAATAGTGAGTTTAGAAATTCACCATAAATTATAGAAAATTGATTAGAGGATGATATCTATACCGTTAGATTTTTATATCAGTCTAACTTTGTTTAAAATAGACGGTGACTAATTTCGAGGTGTACACAAAAACATATGAATTTTTAATTGGTGATAGGTCAGAAAACATGGCAGCAGATTCTGTCGAAACAGCATCTATCAGTCATGTTTGAAAATTCACTATAAATTGTACAAGTGGAACTAGACGGAGTACCTTATATGGTTAGAATCTTATTTGAGTCTAGTTTTCATTAGCGCAAATAGAATAATTGTTTAATAGATAAATTAATACAGACTAAAATTTGTTTGAAGGTAGTGCAAACTGGAAAAATATGGAATTTTGATAAATTGTATATTGAAAGTAGTGGAAGGCAAAGGATTTAAATCTAAAGCTTAGTGAGGCTTATATTTTTATTTAAAATAATAGTAATAAATTGTTAAAGTGAATCCAGTTTGTTTATTTGATTATTATTATAGTCGATGACGACTTGCGATAAGTCAACCTCATTTTATTTTTCAGTATGATTTATAAATTTTCAGTATAGAATATTTTTAAAATATTTTCTATAATATTTTGTTTTATCAAGTTTTATGAATGATGGGTATGAACTTCCCAAGTATGATATTTAAGATGATGAATTCTAAATGTTTAAAGTTATCATATGATTTTCAATAATCATATGATTTTCAGTTATCAGATAATTATAAGATCAGATATTTCACAGTTATTAGATACAGAATAATAAGTGATTCTACGATGATAAGTATAAGCCCATTATATGTTGCATTGAGAGTCGTATGTACATTTGGCATATGTCATTAAGTGAGTGCTTATCAGTTCAGCTTTGGTACATTCGTGTGTCAATGTTCAATTATCAATTCAACTTTGGTATATTCGTGTATCAATGTTCAGCACCGTTGGTGCTCATTCAGGTTATGATTGCAATGAAGTGCATCATATCTCAGTTTCAGTTATGATTCAACACCGTGCTCCTAGTGCGCACCATAAACTCAAGTACCTTATATTTTCTTACATATACATTGGGCTATAATAGTAAATGTGAAAGTTATGACAGTATGTGAAAGAAACGAACATATACTTGAAAAGAAAATTTTGAAATATGTTTGAATGAACAGAACAAAGGTTATTTGTGATATTCGATGTTGACTTACATTATTTTTTATAAAATCATGACATGATGATTTTTCAGGTTTTTAGAAGGAAAAACAACTTGACTAGACGGTTTGAAGTTTAATGTTTTTATTTAAATTACAGTTTGTTTCTTATATTTTATTAAAATTATGGTTTTATATCACTTTAATTATATTTTTGGCTAACTAAGTTTTACTTAGCACATGATGATTTTCATGCGTAGGTTCGAATAAAGTAGAGGTTGTGAAGTAGGGAGCTTGTCAGCATCTTATGAAAAATTCAAACCTACCTACAATATCAGTAAGTCATCCTAACTTTGACTTATTAGTGGCATGTACATTATATTTGTTGGGTTTCCTTATTAAATTTGTTTTGAAAGGGTTTGTAATAGTAATTAGGGTTATTTTCTTTAGTTTTATCTAATTTTAGTATTAATCGTGTTTATGAATAAAAATTACAAATTTTATATTTTAAATGGTTTAAAATGAAGCGGAATTAGGCTGTTGTATTTGGATATCAAACTACACTTAATTTTCTAATTACTAGCTGAAATCATATTAGTTTTCAATGATCAAACATTGTTTTATAAATTTTCATGATTAAGGAAAAAGTTTTTAAAGTTAAAAAAGAAATTATTAAATGAAACAAAATTTTTAAGCATTTAAGTTTCAGAAAATATCAGTTGAGTTGATGTGACATTTGTAATACCTTAATTTTTTCCTAAAATAAAAGAAGAAATATAGGGACTAAACTTGCAATTTTACCTTTTTATAATTTTGGGGCTTTAAAGGCCAATCAGAAAGCTTGTAATGGGGTCTCCCCCTTTTTTTCACTGAAAAACTGGAAAAAAAATGATATTTTGGCTCCACTTTCTCTCTCTCTTTCTTTCTTCTTGCTTTGAAGCAAAACGTGATGCATGAGGGGGGTTTAGTTTCGAAAAAATAAGAGGAAAGAGAAGAGAATGGTCTGCCTGAGTCGGGTCGGCCTTCACTGGCGAGAGTGACGTGCTCGGTGGCCGTTCGGCCATGCATATAAAGTTTTATAGGTTTTGATTTAGGCTTTTAAAAGATAGGGTGTTGGGTTCGTTTTTTTGTTGTTTTATAGGGCCATTGGCCACCATAGGTGGTGGCCAAGGTGAGTAGCCATCCATGCGTGGCGTCGGACGGTGGTCGGCGATGAGTTTGGAAGATTTGGGAGCTTTTCAGCCAAACCATGCGTAGGGAAGGGGGAAGTTTTTGGTCTTTAAGCCTTTGGTCGGGCTACCTTTGGTTGTAGTCGGGATCGCGGGTTGGAGTAGAATGGTCACTGGCCTGGTGGCTGGCGTGTGAGGGGTGGCGAGCGGCAACCGAATGAGCTGTTGAGGTTTGGTATGTTTTTCGGCCAACTGTGCGAAAGGGGGGAGGGAATATGTCTGTTTTGTAAATTTGGGTTAATCACATATAAGCCCCCTATATTTTAGTCCTTTTGCACTCCAGTCACTAACTTTTTATTTATTTCAAATACGCATGAAAATTTTACTAACTTTTAATTTGGTCACTCTTCTGCTATGTTATTTATTTCTAACTACTAACTTTTATTTTATTGCATATTAACTACTGACTTTTATTTTATTGCATTCTAACCATTGTTTATTTATTTATTGTTTATATTATTCGATTTGACCTTGTGGTGACCAGATCCAATGTATGATCTGTATTATCATGGTTCAGACTCTGCTAACTACTAAATTTTATTTTATTGCACTTTAATCATTGTTATTTATTTTATTTATTTATTGTTTCTAATATTCTATTCGACCTTGTGGTTACTCGATTCGGGGTATGATCCACATTATTATGGTTCGGACTCTGCTAACTACTAACTTTTATTTTATTGCACTTTAACCATTGTTATTTATTTATTTATTGTTTCTAATATTCGATTCGACCTTGTGGTGACCCGATCCGGGGTATGATATGCATTATTATGGTTCGGACTTTGCTAACTACTGACTTGTATTTTATTGCATTCTAACCATTGTTTATTTATTTATTTATTTATTATTTCTAATATTTTATTCGACCTTGTGATGACCCGGTCCGGGGTATGATCCGCATTATTATGGTTCGGACTCTGCTAACCGCTAACTTTTCTAACAACTAACATTTGTAACAGCTAATTACTAATTGTTAACCATTTATTTATTTGTTTGTTTTATTTCATGTTCGAACCATGCACGACCTTACGACAATTCACCCCGGGGTATGACTCGCATCATTTACGGTACGGGATACATAATAAAATTCGATATTAACATGTTATTTTTATTGCATTTTATTTATGCTATTTAACTTTATGCACTTTTAAATTTATGTTTTTATTTTCTTTATTTAATTTCAGTATTTACATTTTATTTGCTTTAATGTTCTAATCGTTTATTTCTGTCTCTTTATTTTTCAGTACTTTAATTTTATTCGTTTAATTATTGTGCTTTATTATATGTTTATTTTACTTCTATAATTTAATTTTTTCTTAGTTAGATTTTATTTTCTTACATTTTTACCATGTATGGATATTATATATTTATTCATATTATTTATGTATGTATATATTCTTGGCTCTTGGGAATTGGTTTCGAACGATTGTACAAAACATTTGTTTCATTCATTTTTAACGTTTTTTTACTCTAATATTTTCAAGAGCGCTTATTTGTAGAATAGGCGTAGAAAGCATTGCTTGGTCGAAGTAGTGCGATCCGATACGACATTCGAACGAAAATGTGAACTTGAAATAAATCGAATTTATTTTGCTAATTAAATTTTTATTTCTAATTCAAATTATGCAATGCGTTTTTAATATAGTAATTCATTTGATACAAAATGCGGATATTCAATTTATATTTGATTTACGTTTTTTGATAAATCGAGGAGTGAATATTCCTTTTAAGCAAGAGATAGAAGAGATAGTCTTCCTGTCGGAGGATGAGCAAATCTCGATATTTCTTTTCGAATTAAAAGATTTTCCCTAATAAATAATTCAAAGCAAAATAATTAAACTTTAATAAATGGATTATTTTCTATCTTTATATTCGATTTATAATTTCCACCACCATTACGACAACGTGTAAGCGATTAAGTACCGATTTTTGGGCGATGTGGCGCTTTTTTTAAAATTGTTTTAAAAGACGTTTTTAGGTATTCGACCTACCTAACCCAAAAGTCGATGACGACTCCTATTCAATTTAATTCAAATTAATTCAAAATCACAAATTCTTTAAAATAAAAATCATAATTGTTTTTAATAAAACATAATTGTTTTTAATAAAACATAATTGTTTTTCAAAAAAAAATGGTTATGGCAACATCTGTAGCTCGTATTCGAGACATATATGGGTTATGGGTGTTACAATTCCTTTCATATCCAAAGGTCCATTAAGAACAATTAGTCAATTAATCCAAGTTCATCTAGAGTAATTGTAATGATGTATAGTTTTTCACACACATTGATTTAAACTTATTTTAAAACACAATCACAATTGGTTGTCATGATCAACCCACATTATGGACAGCGAGAATGTTCGACTCGTCCAATCACACATTCACATTATATATAGATTTTCGGAAAACATTTTCAAAATCCTATGCATCATTTGCAACACATCACATTCACATTTTCGATAAATTATGTATCACACATAATGTAACTCAATCCACATTATCATTAGTATCTTTAACTTAATCTCACAATCAGAATTAAGATAACATATCAAATAAAGTATACTTTCTTTAACCTTGAACACATCCATTCTCAACAATTGAAAGTCACTCACCTTGCTGTTCGGTAACCAAAAACGCTTCCAAATACTAACCAAACACTCACCTCAACACAAAGCACAACTCCACCTCAACACATTAAGAACCTTGACAAGCAAAATAACACATCAAGACTAATGCTAAAACAGAGCAAAATTTTATGTTTCTAAAACAAAGAGAAAACGTCGAAATTACTGAAATCCTTACCGAAACAACTCTCTAAAATCTCTGATCCGATTCAAATCACTTCTCCTCAACAAAAGTTTATCAAAAACAAATAAATCAACATCTAACAGAACTAAAACCACACAATTGAACCTCTACAACTCTAATTTTCCGGATTCCCAAAAAATGTCGAAATAAAGCTTGTTTTGAGGAAATTGATATCCAAATCAAAAGCAATTGAAAAACTATTTTTATGTGATAGTAATCACCTCAAAAACATCTCAATTTCATTAAGAAAACATCATAAGCACCTCAAGAAAATTATCTCAATAATTAACTCCGAAAATCAATCTCAACTCATAAAATCCTTTTCAATAGATTGATTAATCAAAAGAATCATTAACAAAAAATTACTTGCCATCGAAGCATGAAAGAAACCAAGGAAAAGAACATTACCTTGCTGTAAGATGATTGAAAAGAGAAGAATAAGATCGACAATGGCACTCCACCATGATCAAGAGTAAAAATCGGCAAAGAGGATTAAAATCAAACTTAAAGAGAAGAGAAATAGAAATCAATAAGAAGAAAAGAGGAAGAAAAGTGCTCAGTAAAAGAAAGAATTTGAGAGAAGTTACAAAACCGTTGAAGAAAAGAAAATGAAAGCCACGTGAAATGAAAATCAAGAGATGAAAAATAGATTTTGATTAAAAGATGAATCTACATGGAATTTTAGTAAAAAGGGAAGATTAAAATACGGTTAATTTATGAGGGAAAAACTCTAAACACAAGCCTTGGTAAAATAAGCTTCATAGACTTTCGATTTGTGATAATTTGCAAGATAGTCACTAAAATTATTATTTCCAATTAATTCTATTTAATTGATAAATCAAAACTCAAATTAAATTCCAAAATAAAATTTAATAACAAAAAATCATTCAAAACGTTTCAAAAATACTTTTCAAATCAAAATTCAAAATTTTTAATATTTTTTCATTTATCGAAAATCCAAAAACGACTCGAATACCGACCCGAACTTTGAGACGTTACACTACACAAAAGATGTCACTTTATGATTTATTGGACCCCAATAGGAGCATAAATGCTAAGTGGGATATCACAATGATTATTTGATGAGTTTTCATATCGATATTTGATATATTGATCGGTTATAGATTATTTTCTCTTTAAACTTACATTGTTTTGTTTACCATTTGTATGATTCAATGAATTGCGTTCTCAGGCAACGGTGACAATAATCAACCTACAAATATATCGAGTCCAGGGTGGAGGTGGGCTAAAAAAAAGTCATCTGGTTGATGGTGGGAGCTCAAGCTATCGACCAAGGAGATTGCTCCAACTTCAAAACAAACATTCCCCGTAGTTACGAGAGGAGTCCAGCAATTATCGATTTACTCCCCGTATACAATCCAGGTTCATTGGCATTTTTAAGGTCAATTACAACAAGTATTGGCGAGTGAAGACGACTCAATTATTGGTTGAATTACTCACACTGGTATCTTGTTCTTCTACATCCCAATCTCAACAATGTCATTCACGTTTATAACTTCACTTACAAGACACCCCTTTACCATTTCATAAGTAAGTTAACAATCTCAATTTTTGTAAAAGAATAGTATTATATAAAAGGGTTTGTTATATCTCCGAGGTCGTCTATGAAAATTGTTAGTTCTCCGTTAAACAAAACTAGACAAAGATCTTCGGAAAGACTTTTCCATTAACTAGAGTCTTCAAGAAACTCATATCCTCTGAACGACAAACTATCATAATCTCCGAACTAGCTACAGTGCATAGACAAGATCTCTTATAGGCTCAGTGATTAGTCATAACAAACTTCGAGATCCGATGATCAAATCTATTTAATTCGTTGATCTACAAGTAGCCATTATGATCATATGTCTTGCATCAACTAAGATCACTGTATATATCTCTTGACCATGACAGACAGAAGGGGACCTGTACCATCTTTTTCATAATGATGCCCATTTTCATCTTATGTATTCATTCTCAACATGAATAAACACCGATCACTAGTTATTATTTTATCGACTACGATTTTCATTCAAATCAGAAAAGATGAACCGCTAATGGTGGACAAGAGAACTTATTTTCATTAACAGGGTTAATTTATATTTTAAAGTACTTCGATTGATGTTTTCCATTACAGATGACATGGGTGTGTTCTATGGCGTGAAAGATAGCAATGAACTACTTATGGGAGCTAGGAATGGTGGAAATGTGCATTCAGAGATGATATTTAGGAAAGAGGAAGATGAATTTACATTGGATCAAGGATGGGTTTTCCCTAGAATACTTCAATGGCGATGAACGCCTTATGACTTCCCCTGATTCATATCCATTTCTTCCCAGATCTCCAAGTCCACTTCAATCTTCACCGTTTGCTCTTGATTTTGCTAGCCTTTTGTTCTTTCTGGCGTGGTTCCAAAATCAAAAGCCACAAAACCAAGAGAAAAAGCTCCATACTAAGACGAAGAATCTTATAAGATAAGCATCAAACCAAAGAATTTCATTGACTAAAATAATGATTATTTTTATTTGAAATATCAAATTCGAGTACAACATCTAATACCTTGCAATTACTCTAATTAAATATAAAAAATTTATCTCAAACCCATGGGCATGTTTATTTCAGCACACAAAACTCTTAAAAATGGCCCATTACTGTGATATGCTAATGGGCTGCTCGATCCCAATACTCGCGAAGCTAAAGCTAAATAGTATAAAGTAGCAATGGCGGCCTTCAACGCTTACTTCATCTTCCACTCCTCATCTCAGCTCGTCATATGTTTCAAAAGAAAAAATTGGAAAAAAAATCCCTTTTTGATCTCCATAACTTAAACAAAGCAAAGAATTAGGGTTTAAGGAAAGATATTAAGAATGGAAGGCAATAACTTGGAGAAAACACTCCAAGAAGGGAACCTTTACAGGCAACTCAATTGCCTCATTGTTGCTCATCTTCGCCATCACAATCTCACCCAAGTAATTCTTTAAATTTTCTGCATATTTTTTATTTATTTTTATACTTAATTTTGTCTTTATCTTTTTAAAGGCTGCAAGAGCAGTGGCTTCAGCAACAATGACGCCTTTAGACGTTGAAGCTCCTCCCAATAAGCTTCTCGAACTTGTTGTCAAGGTGGGTTCTGTATGTTTTTCTTTTTGGGGTTTGAAGGAAAGGCAGGCAATAAAAAAACATAAAAGAAAACATGTCTTCTTTTAGTTCTAAAGTGATAACAGGGTCTGGCAGTGGAGAATGATGAAACATTACAAGGGGTTCCTTCTTCTACTTTGTTTGATTTGGGGACAGCGCTGGGTTATGGCTCAAATCCGAATCCTCGGCTTAGTTCTGTTGATTTCAGGCAATACCCTTTTGCTAAATTCCCTTATCTGTCCATTTTAATCGGTTTGTTATTGTTTTACTCTCTTTTTTTTTGGCACAGAGGATTAGATTTGTCATATATTATTCGGATTTGAGTATGTATCTGACAGGAGTATTTTATGATTTTTAAAGTTTTTCCGGTGTATTTGGAGGTGATATCCTCGTGTCCATTTGTCGGACACTAGCGCCGGATACTGATACATGAAAAATAAAGAGTAGGAGCAACATAACTAGCTAATTAATCTAGAAAAACCAAAGCGAATAATGAAGGAACCTATAATTTCATATTAGTTTGATAGTTTTCGCCCTTTTCACTGTATGTCGGATAGGTTCCTTGCCACCAGTCTTCCATAAGAGGAGCTCTTAGAGGCTGGAATGGAGATACTGCTTCAATTGCTCTTTTCGCTATGGTCTTGCTGACGGCAGATCAGACATAAGAACACTGTGGTCTAATACAGAATAGACAAAGATGATAGGTTTTAAAAGCACAGATTTTGTTTGATTTATGGAATTTTGGGCCTGAGGGAGGCAGAGTCGATATAGCAATGCTGGATTAACATTCTTTTTCTTTTTTATAAACTTCTTTTTCTATTCTGATATTAATATGTAGCAACGAATTTGAGGATTTTTAAGTTTGAAATTCCTTACCATTAATTGACATAAACTCACGGTGAATGTCAATTGTGAGACCAGTGCTGCACAGGATACTAAAGGCTCGACAAAGAGTTTTCCAAGGCACGAGATAAGGCATCTTTCAGAGCACAAGGTTGGTTAGCTTATGTGTGCAACACTCTTGTGAAAGTGATTATCGTACTGCACTGATAGTTCAAATCTTCTTTAGAATATTGCCAGGTGCGCAAGGTTTAGTACCGATGGGAAGTTTGTTGCTACCGGAAGTGCCGACACATCAATTAAACTCTTTGAAGTATGATTCTTGCATTTGTATGTTTAAGTTTTCTTCACGAAGGATTGTGTCCGACTCCTGTTATTTTATTGGTGCAGATATCAAAAATAAAGCAAATGATGCTGCCTGATTCAAAAGATGGTCCGGTGCGACCTGTTATAAGGACATTTTATGACCATGTGCAGGTATTGCTTATCATTTATCCTGCAGTATGCTTTAAGTTAATGGAAATGAGTCTCATAATCATGGATTTTTTTCTATTATGTTTAATTTGGTTCCAAACCCTAATATTTTTGCGTTTGATACCCTCTTTTCTGTTCATTTCAACCTTGTTTCTGCACACCCTCTCAACAACTCACCTTTATGCTTGTATTCTTAATCAATTTATTTGTTTTGTTCTCTTTCAATCTAAAAGTTGAAAATTTCTACAACTAGGTTGGGCTAGTGTCTAAAATATATACCAACTTTATTTTCGTGAATGCTTGTTTTCAAGGAAAAGCCATAGAGAAACATATACTTGGATTCCTTATATATATGTAGATGCATAGCTATATATTTATTAGTATATTTTTCTAATATCCTATGGCTGAAATGATGGGCATCTTAATTTCTTGTAGTTTGTCCTCCAAATCTCTGATGAGAGTCTAAAAGTAAAAGGATTGTCTTCTTAGGTTTAGAACTTCATATTTTGTGTATATTCTCTCTTTGCAATCAACTCTAAAGCTTATTAAAGATGCTTGTTGATTTTCCTTTGTATGGTCTAACTCTCTTTTGCTCAAATGCAGCCAATAAATGATTTGGATTTCCATCCTCAGAGTACCGTGCTAATATCCGGTGCAAAAGATAACACTATAAAGTATGAACTCTATTCTAAATATAATTAGCTTTGGGATTTTCTTTTAGTTTTATTATTTCCTATTTCGTCTCCTATTCTTTCCCTTATTAATTCATCAATAACTACTTGATGATAGAAACAGTGAAAATCGATGTTTCCTTTCTGGAGTGGTAGGTAGCATGCAAACTGACATTTTTACATTATGGTTGAAATGTGTTCACAGATTCTTTGATTTTTCCAAAGCTACCGCAAAGAGAGCCTTCAGAGTGATCCAGGTTTTGCTTAATATTTTGACACTTTTTCAATTTTGGTCTATGTTCCAAGCTGATTTTAATCTACTTCCGACGTTAAACTTGTGTACTTATGATGACCTAGGATACTCACAATGTACGGTCTGTATCTTTCCATCCATCTGGTGATTTTCTAATAGCGGGTAAACTATTTGAATCATATTTTCCCTGTTTTGAATTTTTCTCGATTTCCTATTTCTTCATGCAACTTCTTACTTGAAGCTTAGATCAAATGAATATTCTAGTGGAAGACCCGGACTCACTTAAACTTGGAAATGGTTTGATTTAATAAATCTACGTATACCGTGTTTTGTATTTGAATTTTCATAACCCTTCTAGACCCTTTAAGGTTACGAGATCCACTTTCCGTCGAAGACCCATTTCATCTATTCACAATAGGGTACTATTTTGCAGTAATATGGTTCATGCACCCAACCCTATTAGTGGGGAAAGGCTTAGTTTATTTTCTGTAAGTCAAATCTTTATGAACCATGTCCGACAACAAATTGCTGACCCAATTTTTGTATTTCTTTTGGTTCCTGAGAATGGCATAAGTTAACTTATAGGAACTCCTTTTCAAGTCTTTTATTATGATTCGACTACTTACAAGGTTCAGATGAAAACTGGCAGGAACCGATCATCCAATACCACACTTATACGATGTTAATACATTCCAATGTTATCTATCTGCAAACCCCCCTGAGATAGGCGTAAATGGAGCAATAAACCAGGTATAAAATATTCCCATCTTCAAAACAGACGGTTCTCTTATCCATTTGTTTTGTTAAAGATAAATTGAGACCATTTGGTCCGAAATCTAATCAGTTCTGGATTTCTGGTGTACAGGTAAGATATTCTTCTACCGGTGGCATGTATGTTACTGCATCTAAAGATGGTGTCATTCGGTTATGGGATGGAGTAAGTGCCAGTTGTATGCGCTCCATAGTTGGTGCCCATGGAACGGCAGAGGCCACGAGTGCATGTTTTACAAAGGATCAAAGGTATGAATGGTAATAATATAGATTAGAATATGAATATATGGTGAAAAACTTAGTGAGAGAAGCTCCTCCTTCTCTCTAAAAATCAGGTGTTTTAGATAAGTTTTTCTATTTTCATTTCTTATCATTTCTCTTAATGGCGAGTAAGGTGAGAGTTCCGGTTGGGAAAAACTGTGTCACTGTGATCATTTTCAACATTCCAAAGAGTTTTCATTACAAAGTTCTTTGGTTATTTTTCGATAAATATGGCGAGGTGGTGGATTCTTTCATCCCCAATAAAAGAAGCAAGGGAGGAAGTAGGTTTGGTTTTGTTCGTTTCACCAGACTGGAGGACGCGAGGAAGGCTATCAATTGTGTTCATAGATCTTGGATTCAAGGCAACAAAATTAGAGTATTCATGGCGAGATATCTTCCTCGTGATGTTTTCTGGAGGAAGTTCTCTGGTCTTTATTCAGTCGAGGGAAACAATGTAAGGAAGGATGTTAGTCACACGGTGGCTCCCATTGCTGGTTCTATTGACGACAGTAAATTCTCAACTCTCAAAGACAGCTTGTTAGGATGGTGCAGAATTTTTATTAAGTGGGTAGAGTCGTCTTCTTTTGAAGAGGCAGTCGTATCCCCGTTATCCAAGGTGAGGGAGCTCGTTGGTGCCTTTCCAGTTAAGTTTCCTGAGCTGGAAGAGGGTTCTGAAGAAGCTGGAAGATCCATTCACTCTTCGGAGGTGCAGTCGGCCGTGAGGTGTTCTGAGAATGAAGAAAAAAATTTCTGCTGTTTGGGGACTAGTGCTAGAGGCAGCCTCCTGTCAGGTGAGGGTGACATAGGAGAGGCTTTGATGATGGGTCTGAGGAGCGATATTGGGGGTCAGAGGATGGTTCTTTCCCAAATGGAGGGAGTGGGGGAACACAAGACATTGCTGGTGCATGCGGAGAGAGAAGCAGTGGATGTCTTTAAGGACACTTGTTTGCCTGCACGTGGTTTTGTGGAGAGTAAGGATTTTTTAATTAATTCTCCCATCCAGGATGGTCTCTTAGTGTCAAAGGAATTGGAAGATGTGAGCCTAAAGGATAAAGTGGATCTGTTGGTTCACGTGGAGAGGGATAATGAAGTTGCCTTTAGGAAAAATAGTGAGTTTGCATGTGCTTTTGTAGGCTCAAAGGATTATTTTAATGATTTCCCCATGTTGGTTGGTCGGGTTGAGATTAGGGAGGTGGAGGAAGGGATTCACGAGGGCTGTTCATACAACTACGCATTCGTAAATCCAAAGGGTATCGCAAGGCAGTACATGAGACCTAAGGTGGGTTCTGGCAATAAATTTAGATCTAAACAATTTTTTCAAGGGAATTTTACAGCTCCTAAAAGAAAGTATAGGGGTTCCCGAAGCAAGAGCCATCAGAGTAAGGTGCATTGGGAGGAAGAAGTGTCTGTTTTTGATGGCAGATTCACTTATGAATCTGATTTTCCAGCATTGGGGCAGTCTCAACAGAAGGATACGTTCAATTCCTTGCCTTTTGGGAAATATTTGGGTTGTGAGTCTAATGGCGCAGTAGTGTATCTATTGTCGGAAGACGATGGCGGGGGAAGGAGTAGAAGGTTCAGGTGATCTACACCATGCTTTTTGTCTGGAGCTGGAAGTTCGGACGGTCTTTAGCCAACAAGACGTGGTGATGTGGTGGAAAGGCGGCTATATGCGTTTTTTTTTTTTTTCATGTGAAAGCTCCGTGGCCTTTGAGTTAGAAGTTGGCTTTTATGGTTTTAGTCAACTGTCACCCTTGGCTTTTTTCTGGTTGTTTTGTTTGATTGTCTATCGGGCCTCGTTTAGGTTTTTTGTTTGGCCAGTCTTTTTTAGGCTGTTGTTATTGCTTTGTTGGATTAGGCTGGTTCTGGTAGGATTGTTGGTGGCTGTTTTTGGTGTTTTATTCATATTGGGGGTGGCTCCCTGGTTGTATCGTGTTCTTTCTATGGTTAATAAAATCTTAAGGCACTCTTTTCCTCCTTCTGCTGATTAAGGAGCTTCTCTATAAGCTCCTTTAATCATGAAGGAGGTTTTTAACGAGGCCTGCAATTCCTATAAAAAAAAGAAGGTATGAATGGTAATCAGTTTGGTGGTTCGATTACATCTTATGTCAAAGCATGGCACTGTGTTTGATATGTTTTAATCTATAAATGAAATGGGCTATAAATTGTAGACTATAATGTATTATATATTTGATAAAAGTAAAAGAAAAATGCTATATTGCTATGTTACTTGGACTCGGGAATGAGTGTCGGATATGGTTACATGTTCTTCAAGTGTGTGTTCAATTATCTCTATGTTTTAAGAGTCCTTTGAAGATCATATCCTCGTACCATGTCCTGATATGCGCCAGACACGGGTATTAGACACCATTGCTTCAAGAATAATAAGCTGTAGCAATGCCGTTATATCGTAATCTCATTATTTTCTCTGGCTAGGTCTGTAAGCTACTTTAGACTGTAATGGAAAATGAAGCAGATTGCAGTGTATGGCTAACAGGATACGCACGAATTAATCGATGAAAGTTCATGTGTCATGTTTCGTAAACTTTGCATGATTTTATTTGCATTGGTACCTTGGTTTGTTTTAAGAAACTTGACCCGTAGTCTTGATTTTCTAGGTTTGTCCTTTCTTGTGGAAAGGATTCCTCGGTGAAGCTTTGGGACATTGGGACCGGAAGATTGGTCAAGCAATATCTTGGGGCTACTCACACGCAATTGCGGTTCCAGGTATGCGTGGGCGGTTTTCTATCTGGTTAAGTTTCCTAATTGGCAGTCATATAACTTCTTTGAGGTCTCGAGGCCAAATCGACTATCCCCAAATTAGTTATTAGGTCTAAAACAGAGTTATCTCTGGGTTCATGAATTTCTAGTTGAAACAGTGCTCTGTCATCTGCCGAAAAGTTATCTTGGCAATTTGGGTTCATGAATCTGTGCTTTCGGTTAGATCACCTACGAAATGGTTCGATATGTTCTCTGCAGGCCGTTTTTAATGATACCGAAGAGTTTGTGCTATCCATAGATGAACCTAGCAATGAGGTTCGTTCGACTTCATGATTGTAGTGGTAACAACCTACTATTGGCTTCCGTTGATTATTTTCTGTTATGATACAGATCATCATATGGGATGCTTTGACGGCTGAAATAGTGGCAAAGTGGCCTTCCAACCATGTTGGCACCCCTCGTTGGATCGAGCACTCACCAACGGAGCCTGCTTTCATATCATGTGGGACCGACAGATCTGTTCGGTTTTGGAAGGAAACTCTCTAAGCACCCGGAATGATCTGGAGAACTTGATCGAACCGAGTTGGCAAAAGCTAAGCGCATCATGAACATTGCAAGTCAACGGTCCGACCTGTAACTCGTCCACATATTTGGAGTCCATATCGCGGCACATCATTGGAGTGGCCGTGCAAATTGCGAGTCATCACGAATTCCCCTGTATCCGTTCTCTCTTTCTTCACCTATTGGAGAGAAACAAGCATTGCAGTCGTTTAGTTTCCGTTTAATAAAAGTTGGTTTGATTAGTGTGCATCATGGGGGTTAATAGTTATTCATGAAGTGTATCAATGTTATCTTTTAATGGATGAAAATTCTTGTTTATCGTTACGGCGTTGATGTTGCGATTCATGTTACATGATATACCACTCCTATATCTACATATACAAAAAATAAATAACCTTGTTATCATCAATACACCATGCATTCAATTTCTATCACATAATTCTTATCATTTTGTTTTAATTGACAACCATTGCAAATGATACGCATTCATGTTCATATCACAAATCGATATCATTTCATTCATGAAGTCGCTTTCAATAACAATGAATTTTTTTATTAAACTAAAGTAATTACAAAATAGTATATGTTTTATGTATTCTCAATTATTTGACAATGAACGTTTTATCACTCTGTTGCAATCGTTGATACTCGAACTCAAGACTTTTAAAAATATTAACAATTCTTTTAGCCACTGAAATAAGTTACTTTGTGCTAATAAAAATGAACTTTTAATCATATTAGCCCATGTATTCCTTTAAGGATAACCAAGTAGAATAGACGGATATAATCCATTCGTTATCGTCATTGGCATTAAGGTGGTGTTTGTTTTTACTGTGTAAGGTCTGCAAAGCTTTTATGTCTGCGCCGCGCAGACATTGGGCTTCACAGACCGTTTGTTTTTTAGAAGACAAAAGCTCTTCTAACGTCTGTGCGGCGCAGACGTAGTCTTATGTCTGCAGAAGTCTTCTAACCTCTTCAAAGAGGTTTTATATTTAATTTTATATTATATTTTATTTTAATTTTAATATTAATATTAATTTTTTAAATAAATTAAATATTAATTTTTAATATTATATTATAGATATTAATTTTAATATTTATTTTTAAATAAATTAAATATTAATTTTTTAATATATATATAGATATTTAATTTTATCATATAAATTATTTATATATTATTAAAATTTTATATTTATTTTAATTATTTTGATTTAAGTTTAAATATAATATTTTTTTGGATTTGTTATTTTTAAATTATATTTAAACTTTTTATACAAAATGTAAGTATTTAAACCACATTGCTTAATAAAAAATGATTTCATTGTTTGATAATTAAGATTTTAAAATATAAAAAAATAAAAATTATGTTTTTAAAATTTTAAAATATAATCACAATTAAATAAAAAATAATCATAAAATAATTTGATAAATTAAAAAATATATTCCTAAAAATATCATATAATTATAAAAATAAATTATGAATATATATTTAAAAAATTTAAAGTATTACATAATTGCATATTTAAAAAAAATCATATAATTTAATAATCATTTATAAATTTTATTCTATAAAACTTATAAAAACTAATAATACATGTGATTATGTGAAACTTATAATAGAATTAATAAGGTGATGTTTGTTTTTCTAAAAAAATTATTATTGTAGTTGTATGAATTATTTAAATTTCAGTATTGTAAAACTAAAATTATTTAAATCTCAGTATTGCAAAACTCTTTTAAGTTTAAAAAATCAGTTTATTTATATTTCAGTTTATTTTAGCAGTCTGCAGACATTAAAAAACAAACAGTCTTCTTCTTGCAAACTACAAACTTTTGGTTCACCTCTTCTACTGTAGATGTAGTCCGCAGACTGCAGATTTTTTACCTCTACAAAAACAAACACCACCTAAGTGTCTTAGCCATCATCAACATAATTAATATATTTTACAAGTTTTTATATTTTTTTATTTTGTTAATGTGGCAGTCCCTAGAAGCACCACGTGTCGTCATTTGATTGCGACGTTTGTTAATTATCTGTCAAAGCTGGTTAATGGCCCGGCCAGTTTGGGAATGCTTTTTACAATGGAAAAGTGATTTTCCACCCTATAAGCAATGCTTTACATCCAAAAATTGTTTCAAAATCATGGTTGAAAAAGTGATTATTATTTCAATCTCAAAAGGCTCAAATTTCTAGTTTTTATGGTGGAAAAATCACGTTTTGTGGTGAAATTATATTTTTATCATCAATTATTTAATTTTAATTAATTTTTAAATCAATACACTTACATTTATAATTATTTATTAATTATTTTTATTAATGCTTAAAAATACTAATAAGTGTTATTATAATTTAAATATTATATTTTCAATTTATAACATAATATCCAAAATATATATTTTATCCTTTCAAAATCATTCTTTACTAACAATCTCAAATATTTAAATTTTAAATTGTATTTTTCAAAAAAAAAATTACATCATTTTTTAAAATCACTTTTTAAAAATATTACCAAACGTTTCAAAAGTAAAATCTATTTGACCATAAACAATGATAAAAGTTGGTCAAAATAATTGTTTTTTTTTTAATTTTCTAAAGTATTTTTAAATTCCATTTTAATATAGACTTATGACCATTTGAGCATAAAGAATGTCTTATTGTAAGGGATACAAACAATAGCTAGTCGTGTCCTTAGACGAGCTTAGCCCTAGGTCACGCCTTCCCTCAAACTTTTATATATTATTGTTATTTATTATCAATAATAATAATAATAATAATAATAATAATAATAATAATATACAGCTATTAATTTAAATAATCATTAGTATTTTCTTTTTAAAATTTCAACCTCATTTATTATTATCATCAACGATTAAAAATTTCATCATTAATCTTGTTCATCTTTACATATTCTGTTTAGGACTTTCTTTTCTTCTCGATTCTATTTCTTGTCCCTCCAAGTTTTATTTTGTATATCTTTTTGTTTTGTTTTGTTTAATAAGTTCATTTTTCTTCCGAAAATTGGGAATGTTTTACTTCCCTTTATAACCATTTTTATTTTATTTCATTTTAATATAGAGTTAGATTCTTTATAGTCTCTCCGATTTATGATTATTTTTGTTATCTTATTGATTTACTTATACTTTAGACGTTCATGTTGATTCTCTCATGTTAATATATGTTCACAATCGCTTAATGTAGGTCCTGTTTCAGTTGTACTTAAGCTAATTGTCAATATGTTGTCATATTTTATTATTATTTTAATGTTAATTGTGTATATCGTTTATTGTTAAGAGTGATACATGTTTAATCATATTTTTATCACTCAACGACTAATTTTTACTCTTTGATGATTTTAAAAGAAATAATTATTTAAATTAATAGTTGTATAGTAATAATAATAATGTAATAATAAATTATATGAAAACTAATGTATAACATATAAATATAAGGGTAAATTAGACATTTTTAACGTTTTTGTCACTTTTTGCTTCGTTTTTGTCATTCAATTATATTTTTTAAAAATCATATTTAATGTTTAGTTTTAGTTACATTCTGGTCACCCGTCGTTGAAAATTTTAATGATGATGTTGATGTATCACTATAAGACAATGTCATGTCATCATTGAAAAAAATCAAAAAAAAAATCATCGTTGGCAGTTCTGTTAATTTTTTAACGGTAGGTGACCAAAATAAAAGAAAAATTAAAAATAGTTAAATGACCAAAACATAATAAAAGTGATAGTTGAGATACTAAACGTATAATTTATCCTAAATATAGTAATATTGTGCGACTGCAGGGTATAAAAACTATTATATATTAAATAATCTTCTCGTACGTACGTACGTACATACTGTAAAACAAAAGGTGGAAAGCAACAAAAACATTGCGTCGCTGATGACGAAGCCATGGTTGTCTCGGTTCGTTCATCTGGACCCATACATATGTCTGTGTGTCCAGAGATGAGTGAGAGCCACGCACACTCACACTCACACTCACACTCACACTCACACTCACACTCACACTCACACTTACGGAGTCCCAAATCCAATCACTTGTCTTATAAAGTCAAGTAGTCAACCATCAAATGCTTAAGAGATTCTGAATCCCTCAGCTGCTCCCACTTCCATTCATTCTACGTAACATAATCACTGCATTTGTCTTTGCTCCCATTCACACGTTTTTCCGGGATGCGTTTCGATAAAACTTCTCTCTTGGGAGTAAGTTTCTTCTCTATATATTGCCTTCCAATTTTCATATTGCTGGGATTTTGGGTTTTTTTTTCCTTTGTGTGTGTTATGCTTGAACTTTGATCTGGGTTGTTTGCATGTATTGTGAATATTGGACGCGGGTTCGCGCCCAACATAGCTGTTTTTCATTTTTCTTGTGTTGTACTATTCTTCGAGCACCTTATCTGCATATTTAGTTCAGATATGCATTAGAAATGATTAAGAAAAATGAAGGAGTGGAAATAGTTTTTATGTATATTGCCTTCGGATCTTGGTTTTATGTTAAGTTTGATCTGAATTGTTTGCATGTATTGGTTTTTCTTATGTAACTCGGACTGGATCATTAATATTGGATATGGGTTTGCGTATATGACGTGGGTATTTCAGTTTCTTTTATATGTTTTGTAGTTAAATTCTCATAATTTATATATTTTCTTTGTATTTTTTATTGATAATCTGTTTTTGTTTCTAGAATTTTATAAACATAAAATTTGGATATTTATCGAACATGATTAAGAACATCTATAGGATAGAGGTGAGTTTTGGATAAAGGATCATACCCAGAAACCAATGTCCAACTATGTATCAGATGGAGGTGCTGGACGCATGGAAGCACGCCCAAAGCTCAGTGTTACATTATCTAACGTTACTTTCATTCATACATAGGGGAGAAGAAAGAGGAATGGGAACACGGATGATAATTTGACAGATCTTGAGCATGGGGATGCAATACCGGTAAAATCGGATTTACTTTTTTTCGTTTAATGTCAAATGAAATTCTATATTAACTGATATGTTAATGAGAGATGATTTCTTGAATCAGGCTGAATTTTTGGGATTTTAACATTGTACCATGCAACAGGCAAAGTGTGATGCAGGGAAGCTCGTATTAGCAACAATTGCTCTCTTGATTGCTTCCACTTCAAGCATATTGATTGTACGCATCCTTTTTGTTCTACTTGTCGGTTCTCTCTTTTTGATGGGCATTCGAAAAGAATTGGAATGAGAAATTAAGGATAACTAAACTTATTCATGGTGATGTGAATGGTTCATTTCTACAGCCAAAGTTTGGAGGGAGGATAATCGATATTGTCTCGGGAGATATCAGTGAAAGTATTTGATATATATTTCGGTGGAGGGAAGAGAGACACAATTATCACAACTCTTTTATTATTCAAACTATCTTTTTGTATTTTCTCTCTTACCTTCTTACATGAGAATACAAGTCTATTTATAGCCTTAGACATGACTCTTAAAATTCGTATTTAAAACAAAATTAAAACAACTCAAAATCAGAATACAAAACAGCACAGTAAATTCTGACCATTCACTACTAAAATTGCTATAACTTTCTCTAGAGAAATCCAATCGACTTGAAATTTGTTGCACCTGAAAATAGACTTCAATAGCTGTAATTTGATAGGTTATACACCCATAATGGTTAACGTTTGCCCCTTCAAATTGTCATTTAAAAAACAGCCTTAAATCTGTCCACTGTGCAGTTACGAATTTAATGGCAAATTAAGTTTATTCACCAACACCCCTCCTTAAGCTTAATTCTCTTCTGTCCTTCATGCCAAGTAGATTTCTCATTTTATCAAAAAGTCTTGTGGACAGTGGCTTTGTAAAGATATTAGCTGCTTGGTCTTCACTTTTCACATGCACCAGTTTTATCTCCTTTTCCTTCACGTGCTCTCGGATGAAATGGAACTTCAGGTCAATATGCTTACTTCTTTCATGATGGACAAGATTATTTGCCAATTCAATCGCTGATCTACTGTCCAAGTAAATTTGTGTGGCCTTCTCTTGAGCAAAATTTAGTTCATTCAGTAATCTTCTCAACCAAATCACATTACACACACAACCTCCTGCTGCCACATACTCTGCTTCGCACGTAGAGAGTGTTACGACTAGTTGTTTCTTTGATAGCCAAGTGAATTTCGTGTCCCCCAAAAAGAACACATATCCCGATGTACTCTTTCGATCATCCACATCACCGCACCAATCGCTATCGGAATATTCCACTAGCATGAAATCTTCAGCTTTTGTGTAGAATAATCCAAGGGATTTAGTTCCCCGAATATACCGCAAAATTCTCTTTACTGCTTTCAAATGCATGTAGACTGGCTCCTCCATGAATCTATTTACAACACCAACGCTATAAGAAATGTTCAGCCTTGTGCATGTGAGATAATGAAGACTCCCAACGGTACTTGGTTGCATCTACTCGTTCTCCACCATCAAACTTAGAAAGTTTCACCCCGGATTCCATTGGTGTTTGATGAGTGTTCAGAAAAGTTAATCTTTGCTCGTTATTTCTTCGATTTTGTGGAGTTATTGCTGTTGATTTTGTTGTGTTATGCCTATTTTCGTGCAGATCCTTACTTTCCAGAATTAGTGATAAAATGAGAGAATTCTGCATTTTTTTATTATTATTTGGTCACGGCTGGAGATATGGGCACGACACTGGGCACGACGCGGTCTGACGTGGCAGTTTCTAGAAGGTACAGTCAGCGGCGGTTTCCAGAAGACTTCATCTGCACGCCTTCTGGAAGATTGACGAGTAGAGTTGCATTAGGAGACTAGTTTGAATTTAAATTTAAAAACAATTATCTTTTGTATTATTTTATTATTTTCTTTGCTTATCCTTTAGGCTTTGAGAGGCTATAAATACCCACTTGGGGTAAGCCTAAACTTATCACTCAAATTACATTCTTCTTTTCTCTCTAGTTTTATTAAAGTTTTCTCTTTTTACTTTTCAAGTTTTTTCCCTTTTTTCTTTTATTTTCAAGCTTTGTTTTCAAAATGCTAAGTATGACTTTTGTCATGCTTAGCTAAATTTTTCAAAAGCCGAGAGCTGTCGCGATGATTCAATTTCAACGGGAGAATTGAAACGGTCCTTTAATATCTTCATAATATCTCTCTCAATCTCTGCGCTTATTTTGCAAAATCAAAACAGTTTTCAAAATCAAAGATTGACTTTGGTCAAGAGGTTGTTGCGATTAAATGTGTGGGAGGAAGATTCGACTTATAGAAAACAATTCGACTTCCTGGGAACACACTTGGAGAGATAGTTTCGCCAAGAGGGAATTGAGATCAGAATTGACGGCTATAGAAGCAACAATCCAAGTCGGACGCTACAAACTTAAACGGTAATTGATCTACGACAATTGATGTCGTTAGAATCAATTATCGAAGCCGGAATCAAAGATTGCCTTGGGTGTTCGGTATACAAGATAGAGTCACGGGGATAGCCCTTGTAGACAAATTAACCGACGTGAATCCCGAAGAGGAAATCTTATTCGATGATCTAAAGGAAATTGAATCAAAGCGAAGCTTGAGGCGATTTTTACCATATTTATTCACAATCTTCATCATCCTATTTTTACTTTAATTGCTTTAATTTATTTACTCGTTTTTACTATTTAAATCTCATATTGCAAACCCCTCCCCCCCATTTTACTATTTTTTGCCTGGTTAAAAACCATTCAAACATAAATTTGTGATTTTCTACATCCTTGAGGATTCGACCCTTATTTCTCTATACTATGTATTTCCTTATTTATTAATTGAGAAAAAGGAATTTATTTTGACACCGAAAAGACAATTGTCAAATTTGCGTCGTTGCCAGGGACTTCGCCAAAGTTATTAATTTTTGTTTGCTTTTGATTTATGGCCAGGACTAATCCGGGCACATTAGTGAAGTACGATCCGAAGATCGAAGCTAAAGCTAGGATACTCCACGCACATACACTTCAGGAAAGAAAGAGACAAAAAACAAATCCAGAATAAGAATCAAATTCAGGTAATACAAATCTGATGGCCGAACTTACTATTCGGGAGTTAGCCGCGACACCTACAGAACAAGTGCCTTTGAGCATTGATTTTCCCCAAGGCGAAACTCCATACCAGTTGAAAACTGGCCTTATTCATCTCCTCCCTACATTCCGCGGATTGCCAAATGAGGATCCACACAAACATCTCAAGGAATTCCACATGGTCTGCTCTAGCATGACACCACAGGGAGTAACCGAGGACCAAATAAAACTTAGAGCTTTTCCTTTTTCCTTAGCCTATTCGGCTAAGGATTGGTTATTTTATCTTCCTCCTAATTATGTTACTACATGGGCTCAAATGACTCGTCTTTTTCTTGACAGGTTTTTCCCTGCGGCAAAAGTAAGTGAACTACGAAGGAGAATACTTGGAATCAAGTAGCTTAATGGAGAGTCACTTTACGACTACTGGGAGTGTTTTAAGAAGTTATGTTGTAGTTTCCCACAACATGGGTTAACTGAGCAAACACTCCTTCAATACTTTTATGAAGGATTATCTCCCCTGGAAATGAAGATGATCGATGCAGCCAACGGTGGAGCCTTGGTGAATATGACTCCTACTGAGGCTAGGGACTTAATATCGACAATGGCTGCAAATTCCCAACAATTTCTCACAAATAATGAAACTTCTCGAAGGGTTCATGAGAGAAGTTCATCTTCCTTAGAAAAAAAATCGATAAGCTAACTGAAGTCGTAAACTCTCTTGTTTCAAGAAAGATAGGGCAAAACCAAGTATGTGGAATATGTGCATTGTCTGATCATCCGACAGACGGTTGTCCACTGATTCAAGATGACGCAACAACTCAAGTCAATGCAGTCGGGAATTTCCCGGGACCTCCCCAAAGAGCTTATAATCCATACTGCAATACATGCAACCCAGCATGGAGGAATTATCCGAATTTCAGCTATGCTCAGAACCCAATACCAAGTCAAAGTTATCAATCGAGACCACCTCCACCACAACAACAGCCGCAGAAGACATCACTAGAATCAATTGTCAAGAGGTTAGCGCTTTCACAGGAAAAGCTTCAGAATCGCACCTAAGCCCACTTACAAGAGTTAGACAAGAAGATGAGCCAACTGGCTCAAACCGTAAGTCGCATGGAATCACAAGGTAAGCTTCTGTCTCAAACTGAAGTAAACCCGAGGGAGAACGTCAGTGCCATCACTCTACGGAGTGGTACAGTAGTGGCGCCACCTATTCCATCAGACCAAGCAGTCCAAAAAGAGAAGAAGACTGCTGACACAGGATCCCAGAAAGAGAATGACGAGGTTAGTCAAAAAGGATAAAAAAGCCGAGGAAAATGAAATATTAGACGTACTTCGGAAGGTGGAAGTTAACATACCTCTCCTTGAGGTTATCCGAAAAGTTCCAAGGTATTGCCGATTTTTGAAGGATCTCTGTACGACTAAAAGGAAACTTACCAGGGTCGAGAAAGTGGATTTAGGTGCGAACGTCTGAGCAGTTTTCCAATGACCGCTTCCACCGAAGTATAAAGACCAAGGTATGTTTTCAATGCCTTGTAAAATTGGTGAGATTAAAATCAAGCGAGCTATGTGCGATCTAGGTGCCTCTATCAATGTAATGCCTCTCCCCGTCTATAATTTAATTTCCACCAAGCCTTTGAAGGAGACGAGAGTTACACTTCAGCTAGACAAATCAATTATTTATCTTGATAGACTCCTAGAAAATGTTCTAATAGAGGTAGAAAAATTAATTTTTCCTGCTGATTTTTATGTGATTGATATGGAAAATGATCGTAGCAACATTGGTTCTGAAATCCTCCTCGGTCGTCCCTTTCTAAGCACGACAAATGCAAAATTTGACGTTCGAAGCGGTATTCTTACTATAGAATTCGACGATGAGATCATAAAGTTTGATGTTTATAAAGCAATGAGATATCTGGATAACGTGTATAGTATTAATTTTGTTGGCATAATTAAACATGTTGATGATGAATCTAACTTTGTTGATTATTTATGCAAGGAATAGGATGATAAAAAAGACGACATAAGGGAGTTGAAAAAATATTTCATTTGTTGATTCGAATTTGATCTTAACTCCTTTAAACACTAAAGATTCACTTTTCCTTTTGCAGGCACCAAAAATTATGTCGAAACCATCAAAGAATCATTTGAAGAAATCAATTTTTGGTAAAAAAGATGTTTTGACGGACATTCTTTTCGACAAAAATTTTAATTTGGGAAAAATTTGAAGAAATCTTTATGAGAATTTTCGAATTTCTCATAAAGAATTTCTTAGTTGGAAA